CTCTCTCTCTCTCTATATATATATATATATATATATATATATATATATATAAACATTAACATTCTGTCTCTCTCTCTTTCTCTCTCTCTCTCTCTCTATATATATATATATATATATATTAAACATTAACATTCTCTCTCTCTCTCTTTCTCTCTCTCTCTCTATATATATATATATATATATATATTAAAACATTAACATTCTGTCTCTCTCTCTCTCTCTCTCTCTCTCTATATATATATATATATATATATATATATATATATATATATATATATATATATATATATATATATATATATATATATATATATATATATATATACACCAGGTGTAACACCAAAAATTGTCCAAATCGTTTAGAAGCAAAATTCCCCATTTGTTAGTTTAAGGTTTGCACCGTTTATTTTAGGAATAATTAAATATATCTTACTTGAATTTTGAGGGTTTTTTTTACAACAGTTTTGGACTGTAATTTGAGTAGTAAGAATGTGTATTTACTCTCCAAGCTTAACAGAAGAATCGTGCGAAAATCGATCATAAACGAAAATGACACGTTCATTATTAGTTCATCATAGCTAAGGACAGGAAGATCATGAAAGATTGAAATAAAGTTGAAATATAAATATATCATTGCAGGTTTATTTTCCAACTTATTCAAGATGATTTCGCCCTCTCTAACCTTCTAACTTCCTGTTCTGGAGTGATCAATTGATTCAGATTTTTCACGCACGATTTCATTTTTCAAGTCTTTTTCACAGATCTTTAGATGAAACTCGTCTCAAACATCTCATGAATAAAGTTGGATCTTTTCTAATTGAAATCTTTAGATGAAATGATGATCCCTCATCATTTTCTGACCTCCCGATCCATTTTTATACCGTTCTCTTGATACTTCTTGAATGGTCTTTGAAGATGAAAACCAGATTATGAATGTTAGTACTATTACTTTGCTCTTTTGAGAAGACATTGGTGCTGACACATAACGATTTTAACCTGTTGTTTTCTAGCTAAGTAATTGAAAGGATTTTTTCAATAATTTGTAAAATGGTGTCTTATCCGAAAACATGGAAAAAACTGAATTATTTTATTTTATTTTTTTTTTTTTTTTATAAATTAAACATTTTGTGGGATGGATAATTATGCTGCAATGTATGTATGTATAGTTAGACGGATAGATATAGGGATACATTGTTTATTTGTTTAGATGGGTGTATCTATTTGTATGGAGATGTAAGGTTTTATGTATATATGTGCACGTATGTGCATGTCCGTATGTATATATGCGTGTAAATGTATATATATGTAGGAATGGATGTGTAGGGATGTATGTGTATATGTATGTATGTGTATATTTTTATGTATGCATATGCATACATATATGTATGTATGTGTAGGTGTATATATATATATATATATATATATGAATATATATATGTGTGTGTGTGTGTGCGTGTGTGTACATGGGTATATGTGTGTGTATGTGTGTACATGCCTATATGTATGTACGTACGTGTAAATGCAAATACGTTATTTTGTATTGTGTATACGCATGAGTTTTTGAACATAGAAATATAGGTCCTTGCTAGATTAAATAATCGCTATATTTATTTTTTAAATGTTTATATTTGATTTATAACGTTTAGTCGATATTTATTTTGTCAAATTTTCTTAATTACACAGAGGTCCTTTTATACATGCCCTTCAGTTTTAGTTTCCCCCGCCCAATCTCTCTCCCCCACCCTTTTTTTATTTTATTTTCTTTTCCTCTCCCTCCCTCTTCTTCTGATCTTTAAGATTAGATCGTCTATTGTGTGTGTATGTTACCTCAAAATGTATCCTTTCCGGTTATATCTTTAATGTATTAAACATCCGACAACATTCATTTTTCTCTCACTTAAACCATCTTTGACTCACCTCTCTAGAACTTCTCACTGGTAAATTTTAATCCCCCACCTTCTCTCGTCTGTTACCCCTCTCTTTAGCTCTAACATCCGTCCCACACTCTCATATTTACACTCTCTCTAAATTTTATTTTTTTATTCCCGGATTTGTATTTTCTGTTTTCTTTTTGAATTTGTAGATCTAATGAATTGGATCGTATTTACGATTCTAATGGAATAAAGTATAACCATGGAATATTAGTGTTTGAGCCTTTTTTATATATATATATATATATATATATATATATATATATATATATATATATATAGTCCATCTTTAATTATTATTCAAATGACATAATCTCAAACACTCGTATGTACTTTGAACAAATTATGTCAAATCTTATACGATTTATTTAGAATGACATAACAAAATTTATTTAAATTTCAAGTTAGTTTTCACATGATTTTATTATTTTTTTTTATTTACTCCCGAAATCGCTTTCGGGGGTTATTATAACTGAGCAGATAAAGAATTTTTGCTTCAATGAAAACATGATAAAATGATTGATAAATGATCAGCACTTGTAATACAACAAATAACAACCACAGATTATGAGTCTTTCATGCATATATATTTTAATATAGGGATCCTTATATATAACAGACTCATATCCATTGATTTTTTTAATCTTTAGTTCAGTTTCTTGCATGGGACTTTTAATTGCTTCTCGCAGGTCTGCTTTGATTTCGTGTTGTCACCTTTAGATAATTTCATCTTCACAATTGACAATAGATGTTCGGATGGCTTGAGAGAACGTTACATAAAGTTTATTTGGTAATTGCACTGAGACAAGTGGGAGATTGTGAGCTGTAGAAAAATATGCAAATTAATAATAAAACATGATTTGCAAGTTTATGCGAATAAGCCCGATAGATGACGATTGAGTTTTGACTTGAAATGCTCAAGATTGAAACGATCATGGAAGTACATAAGTGTGTATCTGTTCCACACGGTGGCATTTCTTGTAAAAAATAAAAACATAATGTTCGAAATAATTTTATTCCTGGGAACGGGAAAAGCTTGCCCTTGATTGAAAGGTCAGAACTGTTGCAACTAAAGAATCAAACCAGATGGACTTTTCTCAGACATATATACCCATTCAACCTCAACGTCAATTTGGTAAAATGGTACCTACGTGCTTTGTTATTTAAAGTTAGATCCTAATTGTAAGCCACTATTTTCAAGCTGATTATATCGACAGACAGACGCTCACAATTTGCAGAAATACTAAAACGTATGTTCCTCATCTTAGTTTCTCCAATATTTCCTTGTTTTGTACTAAGCTAATACCTGTAGCCACTTTGAATTATGTTTATTTTTTGTTTGTTATTGAACATCAAGCTTCAGATCAGTTCGATGTCATTCCCACTTCTCTTCGAGGAATCATTGTTCCTACATTTGCATGTTTCTGTGACTCATTTTCCAGGGTTTTTTTTTTCTGCTACATTGTACAATTTTTCTTGCATTTTTTTTCTAACATTCTTTTTTTATCTCCTTATTTCGTGGTTCCTGAAAACATCTACGCCATTCTTCCCGCAGTTCTTTAGAAGATGCGATAAAACTTTTGGCTTTTATAACGTAATGTTTTAATCTTGCGTAGACTCGGGCAACTGCGAGTACATGGCGCGATTCCTGACTTATGAAAAACATGTTTGTGGAGCAGATCGACTGCACTCTATTTCCTTGACTTAATGTGGTGTCCATATTTGATAAACAGACAGTTTAGTACAAATAGCAAACCTCGCCAACCGCCACCAGACACAATCGGAAGTTAATGGTACAGACATAGTATTAACGTCAGTTGCAGATCCCTAACAAAGAATTACGAATAACGTGAATAGAAAAATTGGCCTTGATTGGAGTAGCCTTAAGGCAAAGTGCATCCATTATTATTATAATGTTATTATTATTATTAAAAGAAAAGGACGAAGGATATGAAATTTATTGAAGATTATTGTTTGTTTCGTTGTTGTTGAAAATGAAAAAATGAATAACGGGTTAAAGAAAGACGAAAAAAAAAAAGTTGAAAAAAGTCCATTAAAAGAAAATCAAAATCCATGAAATAACAGCTACATATGGAAACAAATAAATCGCATTGGGCGGTAAAATGGAAAGAAAATAATGGCAATAATTAAGCGGCAAAAAAGAAAAGGAAAGAAAGAAGAAAGAAAGAAAAAGATCGAACAAAAAGAAAGAAAAAGAAGAACATAATGAAATGTGGTAACAAAGAAAGAAAGAAAAGAAAAATCTCGAAATAAGGAAATAAAGAAAAACAAAAAAAAAAAAAAGAAAGAAAGAAAATTGAAAATGAAATGTGGAAAAAAAGACACAAAAAAGAAATATAAAATAAAGAAGATGAAAGAAAAAGGAAAAACTATGATGTCTTGAAAATATTCGAAAGAACAATTGTAGAAAGAAACTATGAAAATGTAAATATGGAATGAATAACGGGTTAAAGAAAGACGAGGGAAAAATAAAGAAAATCGAAAACAAACATTAATAAAAAGAAAAAAGACAAAGAATGAAAAGGAAGAAAGAAAGAAAGAAAAAAAAAGAAAATGAAACAAATTCAAAAAATCCATGTAAAAGAAATAAAGAAAGAAAGAAAAAAGAAAGAAAGAAAGAAAAAAGAAAGAAAGAAAGAACGACAGAAAATATCAAATTCGAAATAAATGTAAGACATATACCAAACATTAATAAAAAGAAAGAGTTAAAGAAAAGTGTAAATAAGAAAGAAAGAAAGAAAGAAAGAAAGAAAGAAAGAAAGAAAGAAAGAAAGAAAGAAAGAACGACAGAAAAATTGCAAAAAATAAATCTCGTAACATTAATAAAAAGAAAAAGACAAAGAAAAGAAAAAGAAAAGAAAGAAAGGAATGAAAGAAAAGAAAGAAAAGAAAAAAGAAAAAAAAAAAACGACAGAAAATAGAATCTCGAAATAAATGTAACAAAAACAAAGAAAAAAGAAAAGAAAGAAAGAAAGAAAGAAAGAAAGAAAGAAAGAAAAAAGAAAAATCGAAACAAAAAACAAATTCATGAAAACATATACCAAAACATTAAAAAAAGAAAAAAGAAAGAAAGAAAGAAAGAAAGAAAGAAAGAAAGAAAGAAAGAAAGAAAGAAAGAAAGAACGACAGAAAAATAGAATGAAACAAATTCGAAATAAATGTAAGACATATACCAAACATTAATAAAAAGAAAGAGTTAAAGAAAAGTGTAAATAAGAAAGAAAGAAAGAAAGAAAGAAAGAAAGAAAGAAAGAAAGAAACAGAAAAAAGAATTTCAAAATCTCGTAACCAAGAAAAGACAAAAGAAAAAAGAAAGAAATAAAAGAAAGAAAGAAAGAAAGAAAGAAAATTTGGAAAAATCTCGTAACAAGAAAGACAAGAATAAAGAAGATAGGAATGAAAGAAAGAAAGAAAGAAAAAATTTCAAAAAAGAACGACAGAAAAAATAGAATGAAACAAATTCGAAAGACAAGAAAAAAGAAAGAAAGAAAAATTTGGAAAAATTCGTAACAAATAAAAAAGAAAGAAAAGAAAAGTGTAAATAAAAAAAAGAAAGAAAGAAAGAAAGAAAGAAAGAAAGAAAGAAAAGAAAAAGAAAGAAAGAAAGAACACAGAAAAATAATGAAATGTGGTAACAAAACATTAATAAAAAAGAAAGACAAGCAAAAAGAAGAATATAAAGAAAGAAAGAAAAGAAAGGAATGGAAACAAATTCGAAATAAATGAAGGAAGAAAAGAAAAGAAAAGAAAAAAAAAAGAAAAGAAAAAAGAAAAAAATAGAATGAAAAGAAAGAAAGAAAGAAAAAAAAAGAAAAAAGAAAAGAAAGACAGAAACAAATTCGAAAATAAATGAATGAAACAAATTCATATAAAAAAATAAAATAAATGTAAAGACATAAACGACAAACAAATTAATAAAAACAAATAAAAAAGAAAGAGTAAAGAAAAAAATAAAAAGAAAGAAAGAAAAAGAAAGAAAGAAAAAGAAAGAAAAAGAAAGAAAGAAAAAAAAAAAAAAATAGAACGAAGAAAAAATAAGACATATAAAACAAATTTCAAATAAGGAAAATAAATAAAAATTAAAGAAAAAAGAAAAGAAAAAAAAAGTAGAAAAAAAAATCTTGAAACAAATTCGAAATAAAATGAAATATAAAATAATAAAAAAGAAAGAGTTAAAGAAAAAACAAATAAGAAAGAAAGTCTTCAGAAAAAGAAAGAAAGAAAGAAAGAAAGAACGACATTTTAGAATGAAACAAATTCGAAATCCTCATATTAATAAAAAGCAATTTTTAAAAGAAAAGTGCGACATATTACCTTTTGATTAAGAAAGAAAGAAAGAAAAGAAAGAAAAAAGAAAATCTCTAATAACGACAGAAAATAGAATTTCGAAATAAATGTAACAAACAAACAAATAAGAAAAGTGTAAATAAGAAAGAAAGAAAAGAAAGAAAAGAAAGAAAGAAAGAAAAAGAAAGAAAGAACGACAGAAAATAGAATGGGCTAAATCAAATAAATGTAAGACATATATAAAAAGGAGTTAAAGAAAAGTGTAAAAAAAGAAAGAAAGATTCTTTAAATAAAAAGAAATACCAAAGGAAGATGGTGAAACAACGAAATCAAACGACAAAAGTATAGAAGCGATTATAAAAGGGGGAAAAAGGTCGAATATAATCTTGGCTTCTTTAAAACCATTAAATCTGCCGCCATTTTGTATGAAAAAAATTAAAATATTTGAAAGAAACAAAGAAAACACATAAGTAAAGAAAAAGGAAGAGAATGATAGGGCTAAATCATATAGGTGACATAATGATTCTTTAAGTGGAAGATTCATGTTCTATAGAAGGAATAAAAGGGAAAAAGGTCATTCGGAGAAAACCAAAACATAAAAAAAAAATTAAAATATTTAGCCAAGAAAAACAATCTACATCAATGAAAGAAAAACATAAAGAAAGAAAAACAATCTACATCAATGAAAGGAAAAGAATATGGACAAATATTTTGTACACAAAATTTAAAAAGTAAAACAATAAGAAAATTAAAAGGAAGAAAGTTTAAACTCAATGATAAAAAAGCAAACAAAACAACAACAAAGAAAATAGAAAAATATACGTTTAGAAAGATAATCTAGAAGATTACAAGTTGATAATCTCGTATAACACTTTAATAATCTCTAATATTACAATTTGATAATGGCTTATGTTACTATTTGTTAGTCTCTTATATTACCATTTGATAATATCTTGCAATAACTTTTGATAATCTCATATACAACCATTTGATAGTCTCGTGTATTGTAATCTGATAATCTCTTATACTACCATTTGATAGTCTCTTTTATTATAATTTGATATTTTGCATTACATTTTGTTAATCTCAAATACTAATATTTGTTAATCTCTTATAATACAATTTGATAGCCTCTTATATTATCATTTCCTAAGTTCTTGTATTACCTTTTGATAAACTTTTAAAATTTGATAACGTTTTATATTACAATTTAATAATGTCTTCTATTTACATTATTCAGACTATTGTCCTTATTTTTGTCGCCATATTTATTACAACGTTTCGGCCGTTCTTCGCTCCGGTCTTCTTCAGGTTGTTGGAATGTCGAAATGAACCATTTCACTAGCTATTTCGGTAACCATGTTTATCTCCTGTTAATTCCTCTCTCCAAGTTCTCCACACTCAGTCACATTATTTGAGTTCTATTACTGGATCTAACTAACGCCTTTACCCATTCTGCCACGTGTCCTTGAGGATATGTGTGTATGGATTTTTGGGCATTATAAACCTTATGTCTTCAGCAACCATTTTTACCAGTGCTCATATTGCAATTCTTTTCTGTTATAATTGCACGTTTTTACCAGAGGTCATATTGTAATTTTTTTGTTATTATCGCTTTTCTTTGCCACTACTTATTACTGGTTCCTATATTTTATTCATTTCTATGTTTGAAGAACTGTAAAAAAAATTTTTGCTGAAGACATTAGGTAAATAATACCCAGAAAGATTTTTACATTTTAAGACATTTTTTTTGTCACGGAATGGCTTAGTGATACGCGTCTTACTAATTAACATATAGCTGAGTGAATAATAGATGGATTCATACCATTCCCAATGGTAGTGAATATATCAAACCCATCGGGATTTGGAACTCAGCTCTAAGTTTAAAAATGTCGGGTCAATATCATTTACACTACTCGGACATACAAGCTTACAGCATCTGGTATTCCCAAACGGTCACCCAACATGATACTGATCAGGCTCGACGTTGCTTAACTTCGGTGATTGTACGACAATCAAATGATTCAACGTAATGCCAGTTATAAGTTATCCCCTGTTAATTTCCCTCTGAAAGTTCTCAACTGATTAAACCGGGTATTGAACTCCTCAAGGACACATGGGACAGTGGATAAAGGCGTTAGTTAGATCCAGTGACAGGACGCAAAGAGTGTGTGTTCAATACCAGGTTAAGACGGTGGAGAACTTGGAAAGGGGAATTACCAGGAGATAACTGATGACTGATATCCATTAGATATGGCACATGGAACTAGAACAGTCTACCCCAGTGAGTGAAATAAAGGGTTAAGTTCGAAATTCCGACCACCGGAAGAAGGCCGGAGCGTAAAACGGCTGAAACGTTGTAATAAATATCGGCACAAAGATGAGGACAATAGTCCGAATGATGAAAATAGTGTCCATAATACCTTTTTTTAAGCATTATGCCGCGAGCAATGCGTGAAGCCACTAGGATGCAGGGGGTTGCAGAAGATTTGGAGCAAGAGCAGATAGGAGTGATAGAAGAAAGGAGGAGGAGAGGGATAGTTCATAGATCAAGGTAACTGGAGATGTCGATTGACATTACATTTGAATAGTTGGAGATTATAGCTCTCAGGGAAACAGTAATTGGGAAGGGTGTTCCACAGGCGAGAGGTGCGAGGTATGAAGCTTTTGGAGTAGAAGAGACGGCTACATTTAAAATTTTCTACAGTGTAAGGGTGGGAGCGGGATGCCAGCCTCGTAGGGCGCTTAAATTCATGGAGTCTGGGAACCAGTAAAAGAAGCTCATCGCAGCAATTACCATGAAAGTATTTGTAGAAAAGACAGAGAGAGGCGACGCCGCGTCTGTTGGAGAGTGACTGCAGACGAGACGCCAGATCAGGGCCAATTACATTACATATCCGTCTCTGGATCTTGTCAAGAACTCCTTATCTCAGAAATATCGACAGATACTGAAGGGCCGAAACGCTGTAATAAATATGGCGACAAAGATGAGGACAAGAGTCCGAATAATGTAAATAGTGTCCATAATACCTCATCTCAGAAATATAGACAGATACCAAAAGGCCGATAACATTGTAATAAATATGGCGACAGAGATGAGGACAATAGCCTGAATAATGTAAATAGTGCCCATAATACCTCATCTCAGAAATATAGACAGATATATTTTTTATTACTATCCTTTTTTTCCCTAGAGTATTGAATTATGCTCAGTTGTACAGAAGAAATTTTATTATTGGTGACTCTCCATCACATCGCATTGATCTCAAACAGTGAGCGCTTTTCTCGTGATGTTGGTAGATCCCATTAATGCCGATGTATGTTGTGTTGAAACAGGTGACTTGATTCCATGTATTCTCATGTTACAGTTCACATTTCTCGGAATGGTGTCTAATGATCCAGTTAGGAATGAGACTTTCGTAGTATCCATATTATGCAAACGTGTCAAATAAGTGCGGTGATATTTATATTTACTAAATTTTCCAGCCGCTTTCTTAACAACAATTTGCTCACCTTGAAGAGTTCCTGTTTGTCTTATTAACCATAACGATATCTTTCTTCGTCTCTTGCAGAAGTCTTACAAGAGATAGTCATGTTTTTTACTCTATAAGCTGTTTATTGTAACTAGCCTTATTTTTCCTGATAAACCAGTCGATATTTCGGCCGGCCTTACGGTGCCTTTAAGCAAGTAATTCGAACCTGCCCTGGATATTTCTAGTTATATAGATTTTTCTGCTTCATAAAATACTTTATCAAATTATTTATTTGAAAATCGAGGTAAGGGTTTTTTTTTCTTAGAAAATCATGAAGGTTATTAAATTGAGAAAGTATTTTTTTTTTACTTCAGATTGTGTGATCGGCGTGCATGAATGTAAACTTTTGGCGGCATTCATGGAGCTGTTTTAATGTATGTCAGTATATTTTCTAATCATTACTATGTGTGTGTGTATGCGTACGTGTGTATGTGTGAGGGAGATAGAGAGAAAGAGAGAGAAAGAGGAATTCGTCAGTTTTGAGGGGCATCTATCTGCGCTCCAAAATATACGCTTCAGCTGCTGATGGCACGGGAGAGACTGTTTGGGTTGCATTCGCTCGACATCCCTGTGTTGTTTTCTTCCCTTCTTGCACGCTTCTCACCCTGCGACAAACCTCCGTTTCGTTTCTCCTTACTTCGGCCCTCAGTGTAAATCAGGTCGACACCGTGCTAGATCGTTGGCGAAATCTTCCCACCGGTTGATGTCCAGGTCTCTCGCCCTCATGACCCATTTGCAGGCGTCCTTGAAGCAAAGATGAAGCATATCTCGTGTCCTCTTGTCGGTGCCAACTTCCTCGTAAGGACCTTCGGAATCCTCCCTTCCAGTGTTTTGCCATCGAGGTGTGGGGACACGGGAGTGTTCTCTCCACGGCGAAGGCCTGGGCAGGTTCATATGAGAGATCAATGGTTAGCCATGCAACACGTCGGCCCTCTCCGTGCCGCTGATGTTATCAAAGGGTAAGGTCCCTAGTGCTCGTATTATTATTGTAAACAAGGTTATGTTTAAATGCCACATTGTTCCAATTTTGATTTCACTGTCCTGACATTCTAAGCGTTTTAAAAAATTAATTGATTGATATGTTTATTAAATCCAATTGCATTAGATTTTTTAAAGTCTTTTATAAAACTTATATATTGACACTTAAGTTGCTGACGATAAAATACATCCAGTAACAAAGCCTTTGGTCAGGAGGTTTTGTGAAGCGTTCTCCCTTGAATTGCTGCTGTTGCCAGGCCCACCCAGACCATGGTGATAGCTCTTGTTAGTGTCTCAGCAGAGGTCAAATTGTGAAATGTCAAACTGAGGTCAAAACTTGAAAATATAAAAATACCTTACAAACATTTATCAGCAATAAATTTTCATAGTGATAAAGAATATAACCAATATATTTTGTGGAAGAAAAAAAAAATATCAAAGCTGACAAGTAATTTTCGGCGTTAAATATCCCATAATGAGTTGATATGGCGTTAAACAAACAAAACAGAAACTTTAAATTTCAGGTGATGCGATTTATAAAAAGAAAACAAAGCTCTGTAATTTTTTCACCTGTTAATAATGTTGAGATATTTTGCTTATTTCATTTCATGCCTCTCTATTATGTCTTTGTAACTTCATCCCAATAACCGTTTCACTTGACGCAGCGCTCTACCATTCCAAAAGTCCAGCTTCTCAAAGAAAACCAGGATACAGAAAAAATGCTAACTCCCACACACACATTACATCCGTTCTTGATAATGACTGCGAAAGCCGAAAAAAATAAAACAAATATAACAAAATATGAACTGCAGACGAAATATGAACTTTGAGTACAATATAAAATGCCTTATCCACAAAAAATGAAAATATATAAAAAATATTAGGTTCTTTTTAATCAAACTTGTTTAGATAATAGTAAAGTTGTCCACGCTTATTCGTCTACTAGTGCGGCTAGCCAATCCCTATTGTAGAAGCATGCTCAGGCGCACTTATTCAACACCCACGGAGGCCACCTGTGGTTTATACTGCAACTAGGTTGCGCAGATCTTAGAAAGAGCGTGTTATCTAGTGTGATCAACGAGTTGAAAAAGGCCAGCACGCTCAGACTCTCGGCTACGATGACTTGCAACTTCGTGCAATCACAGCTATCAACAACCATCAAATTTCCGTCTGGCAAGGCATGGTTCAACACGTAGTACAGAGTTCAGCCACATTCCCCTCCATTCCGATAACATCAGGTAGTCTTCTTCCTGACAAATTCGAGGTCTCGTGGTCAGAATGCGAACGCTCTAACCACTGGGCCACATTCCAAGTGTGTGTTTAATACTTTATGCCTACCTTATTCAGTTCAAAGCGATGGCATATGTGACGGTTAAAACGAAAGCGTATATCAAATATTTATATGAGATGTAAACTGTTATGTGTATTATCTTACGTTTATTAAATATTTTATACCCAGTGCAATATAAGATCTTGTAAATTGTTACTTCTGTTTAGAGGGTATTCCCGTAACTTGTATCGTTCTTTTCTTTGTGTCGTGTATAGAGTTTTCATATAATCTGCAGGAAACTATCGTAATTTAATCGTTGAAATTTGTTTGAGCATTATGTAAAGATAAACCGTTGGATAGTCGAAAGTCTTTGAGATTTTTTCTCCGCTTTATCATGTTTAGATATAAATTCATTTGCGGGTTGGAGAGAGTAAAAGAATATTAGATTGATAATACATTCTTTATTATAGAAATCCAAACGTCTGGATCTCTCCAATTCATTGCAATCTTTAACGTTTGGGGTCTTTTGTGTAAGTTTGATCTTTGGTAGCAGGGATGAATGCTTCTGTTCTTGGTTTTCTCTTAGATTTCCACAGTCATTGATAAGTGAAATTTCTATCAACATTAGGCTCCGGAAAATAGAGAACTGACATTCTACGGTTTCTCTTCCTGATTAGTTTTCCGGCCAATAACTTTTTGACTTTCGTTTGAAGATTCTGTTTCTATTTTCAGTATGTTATTCTTATATTTATAATATTTTTTATAGTTTTCAATCTTGTTTGAATTTTAGGATTTCCTCGTTAATTGAATGATTTCTTGGATTCAATCTGGGTAACGATTTCAAACATCCAATTATCGGTTCATTCAAGATGGCATTAAAGAGTTATAAATGTCGGCTTGAATGAGAATTCTTGCCGGTTCGGACCCCTGACGCCAGTGACTTAGGCAGGTACAATTCTTCTGCAGAGGGGAATTAACAGGAGATAACTGACATCAATCAAACATAGCACATGGAACTAGAACGGTCTACCCCAGTGAGCGAAATAGGGTTCAGTTCGACATTCCAATTACCTGAAGAAGGCCTGAGCTTACAACGTCCGGAATGTTGTAAGTCTGGCCACAAAGATGAGGACTCTTGTCCGAATAATATAAATAGTGTACATAATAGAAAAAATATCGACAGATACTGTATATGTATTCTCTATAATTTGACAGCATTTGTTTACTTAATTGTGTTTGTTTATTGTCAATACTATGCTTTCGTAATCACGTAAAACTTTGTTGTTTCATGATTCAAAAGGACGTGTGTAGTACCATGGTTGTTTAGCATTCCGCAACCACTGTTGAATTTTGTACACGTCTGTACAAAATATGGATCACAGAACACACCCAGCTTCATACACATTTTCAGAAAACGGCAGCTTCTGATTGGTCACTTAGTATTTAAATCATGTCCGAATATAAACGCCGATTCCTGTGTAAAAATGGATCACAGAGCTTATTCAGCTAATATAAAAAGAAAAGCTCAACTTCTGATTGGTCACTTAAGATTTAAACCATGTCCGAATATCATCGACCTAGTTCTTGACCTGACTAAAAAATAATTCCGCCAAAATCTGTCAATCCCCTTTGAGCCTACCACGTGATAAAAATTGTCAATATATATGAAACGTCATTCACCCTGGACAGTTAGCCGAACAGATTGCTTTGCAGTCGTCACACCGTTCTAGGCTTTATTTAAAATTATTTAACATACTTTCAGCCTGAAAAGAACTGACACAGCAATATTTTATCACGAACAAACAACTCAAATTTTCCATATTCAACTTGACACATGAATCTTTGTCATAAGCTTTCAAGCCCAACGTTAATCATTTCAATTAACATAAACACAGCTAGGTTAAAAATCACTTACTCCAACTACGGAATCTTCTCTTCAAACGACAAGTGAAAGAGCGACAACTCCGTAAACATTTAAGTAAGTCTTGAAGACTACTTCTCTAATTTAGTACAAAATTGAACTGTTTATTTTTCCTTAAATTACAGTAATACCCAAGCACATTTTCACATTATTGTACAAACCGTTCAACAACTTATAATCTATCAAACCAAAACTTTGATAATACTTCAATCAAAACATAAAAGAACATTTGAATTTTTTAAACTACCTCTGTACTTTAGTTGTTTGTACCTTTTTGTTATATAAATATTTTATTTATTTTTGTGCAAAAAATGCTGTTTTTCATATTTGATCTTATTCTATGTTTGTTGAATACTGAAATTTTAAAGTGAGAGGAAATTATTAATTTCTTTACGGAGCCTATATACTCAATAATTATTGATCCATATAATTCACTCAATTAACTCAACCTCCACAGTTGTATTTAATTTTTTATTTTATTTTTCCGAGTAATTTCGATATATTCCAGTAAGGACTAGTAGTGAGAAGTGCATCTAAATCTGATTGGATGCACGTTAATTTCTGTTTTAAGTCGCATCGAAATTGACCTCTGAAAACTACTGCATCATCCCTATTACCACTTTTAAAGGGGCAGCTTGTTTGCAAATGATTTCCCTTACTGGCACGGGCTATAAACAACGTAATCATTTGTGTAAAGATTTTTTTTTCCTGAGAAATGAACCAAGTAATGGGTTTGGGAATTAAGATGTGATCTTGAAGAGGGCCACATGCTGCTCTCTTATTGATTATCTACCTGGTTATTCGTTTCCTTCGAAACACTGTTTACAAAAAATGTCAGAAAAATATATTCAGTTATTCGATCGCCTCATGGAAATATACAGTGTACTCTTAAAATTATATAACGAGAAGGAATAAAATCACATAGCATTAGTTTCTTCTTTCAACAGGAGGCTTTCTGATATGGATTTCTAACATATTTACCTAGCTTTGATGCTACAGACAAATATATTTCACACATGCCTATCCGTTTTGGATTACTATATTATTTTGCAATAATTTATTATTATTTTTATTTCTTGTGCGCTGATTTTCATTTTCAAACGGAGATATTGACTTATTACGTGTGTTTTATCGACCCATACGTATTCAGACAAAAAACTTTGCAGTGTCAAGCAATGAAAACTTCCGAAGCGATGAGATAGTAGAGTTTGTTCTAATTTCCTTAATTTATACCTAAGTTCAGTGATATAGAGATAAACACACTAATGATGATTGTGAGAATACTGACCTGATCGTCCCACAATTAAGGAACCTAGATTTGAATTTTGTTGTATTGTCATGATAGGAAGGAATTTTTTTTTGGGGGGGGGTCCTTGGGTTTCTTTTCAGGGACGATGGTTCGTGTCCAGCAAAGATACCATCAAATGATGCTTCTAAACTATAGAAACGTTTCAGAATATCTCACTAATTCATAATAATTATGCATATATGAATTACAGTAACACTTACAAATAAAATAAAATTATAAACATTATTATTATTATTATTATTATTATTATTATTATTATTATTATTATTATTACCATGGATTTCGGTTGTATACAGTTTTTCATCCGGGTCCCAATGTGTTGGGTAAGACGATAAACTACATTAAGGCCTCTGAACAGGAGGTTTTGAGGAGCTGGAACCACTTCTTAATTGCTGGTGTCCCCATGTCAACCTTGAGCCGGGGTGATCGCAGCTATTACGGACCCAAATTGTTAACCCCCAAAACTATGGTTAAAACACCATGAACGTGTAAAAAATATGATTTTAATACCAGCAGTATATTTTTGGAAAAATATTAGCAGCAAGAAACATCCTGTCGGCATTAAATAATCCACTGAGGTTGGTATGCCGTGAACCAAACCAAACGAGACTGGGTCCCAACGAAAGAGCTAAGCTCAGAAATGACTTCATGATACCTCCCAATGAACACTTTTTTTTATTAAAAAAATAATTATGATCACACGCTTTTTAAAAGCATAAATCTATTGGTAATGTGTGAGCTGTATTTTTCAGTACAATGTCTGTATATCATTCAGGCATCGGCTGCCAGAAATTCGTTTATCTGAAACTTTTCCAATAAATCCGATTGCACAAACATACAAGAATTTTGGGATTAGCACTTCCGTATCTTTGTATTTTGATTGTCTTTTGAGATATTCAAAGATAGATTACAATCTGCAGGGACTGCCTTGTCAGTAAGAAAGAACATTTTGTTTTTGTGGCCTTTGATCATACTGTCTGGGCGGTTAGTTTTGATTATTCTGCCTGCGTGTATTGTAAATTCCCATAACATTGTTACAGCTCATATCTCTGTAACCCAGTCGGGGTGATATTCATACCAGTTTCATGCGGTTTTCTTCCCGTAATAATATTTTCCAGTGCAGGTATTGTCGCACTCTACCATACAGAGTTTTATATTAACGGAGTGATAATACCGTAAAAAATGATAAAATATAGTAAATTATTTTGTATATTTATCACAGAATTTGCATTTGGGGTCATCACAATTTTTGAGTATATTTGATTGGTTATTTCGTGTTACCAAGCCTGGTTCCCGTGCAACAAGAATAGAAACCTCGGGTTTTAATCCAGCAAAACATAACCACTGGTTTGCTTGCACCAACTTGTTTGGTACGGACAGATTATTAACCATGAAGAGGCTTATCTTGCCATCGTTTTTGCATTTGGTTTCTTTGTGTTCGCTTTTGCTATCTGGAGTAAGTGTATCATGGTTTATTTGCATTTCATCCACGTGAAATTGCCTTTTGAATTTTTGGCTTCCTTTATAACTGAATAGTGTTTCTCATTTCCGTTATGTTCTTTGGCACAGATCATCATCAAGTCTTTTTTTAGTTTCCAGGTATTTTTGAAGACAGATTGTTGTAGTTTTGTAAGACATTATTATAATTATTATTTCCGCCTATCTAGGTATTACATCAATTTAAGAGTCTAGGATCTGACATCTCAATAATATCATTCTGCCTGATTTTAAATTTCCTATATGTTACGGGTTATTTTTTTCTTTTTGATAATTTCCAAATTTGCCATTTTAATGATGTTGTATCCACTCGTTCACATCTAACCGTCTTTTTGACTGATCATCTTCCTGTATTGGACTTCTTCAGTATGCATATCTTAATTTCAGCTGTAATTTCTCGTTTCTTTAAATACACTAATATTCATTTTTCATATTTATCAATATATTGATTACAGCTGATAAGCAAGGATATTCAGCGGCATTAAAGGAACGCCGTGAAACAAGTCCGAAAACGCAAGCCTCAGAGGCGCGCTAAAAAAACAAAAGAAGGGGAGGTGTTGAAGGAGGAGGTATTGAAGGGAGAGGTGTTGAAGGGGGTGTTGAAAGGAGAGATGTTGAAGGGGGAGGTGTTGAAGGGAGAGGTGTTGAAGGGGGAGGGATTGAAGGGGGTCGGATATGCGAGAGAAAGAGCAGCGCAATGAAAAAAAATGAAAGAGAACAATATGCTAAAGCAAGGACACATTGCCCATTGGATAAAGGCGTTAGTTAGATCCAGAGTCAGGACCTAAAGAATGTGAGTTCAACACCTGCTTAAGGTAGGGGAGAACTTGGAGAGGGGAATTAACAGGAGATATCTGACATCAATTACACATGTTTCGGGGAACTAGGAGAGTCTACCCCAGCGAACGAAATAAAGGGTCCAGTTCGACATTCCAACGACCTGAAGATGGCCGGAGCGTACAACGCCTGAAACGTTGTGATAATCGTCCTCATTTTCGTTGTCATATGTCAACGAAGATGAGGACAATAGTCCGAACAATGTAAATAGTTTAATAAGTGTGTACATAATAGTGTAATAATTGAAATATTGTAATATGTAAATAGTGTATATAATACCTCATTTCTGAGATATAGACAGCTAGAAAAGAGAACTTGATAGCATAACGAGAAAGAATCCAACACAAGAATCGAAAAAACGAGAATCTAAAATAGATAACTTCTTCGACAAGAAACTGAGAAACAAATCAAAGGAACGAGGAATACTGGCAGCAGGGGAAAAGCACTAAACTGATTTCATAGAATAAATATTCTTAGAATATTGCTGCCAAATATAGTCCGGTTCTCCTGCGATTTACATTGATCTTTAAAAAAATCCAAAGAAGAATCAGCAATATTGCTCACCGCGATATGGCGTCTCAGCTTCCCACCGCCGTAAAGTTGAATCCCTTTACATTTTTCTATAAATACTTGGTAATTGATCGGACCCATTCTTCGCTGTGGCGCTTAGACACTACGATTTTAGCGCTATACTGGATTGGTGACGAGGTCTCGACAATTTACAGTTAAGCTGGCGAGATATACCGTACATTCTTTGCTACCAGTTTCTTTTTACGCGATTATCGATTGTAGAAGTCATTTTCTGGCTCCATGCTTTACAGCAAATGTGCAAAAATTTTAAATGCAATGTCGATAGTGATCTGCTGTCCGCTTCTTTACTCATCCTTTATTCTCACTCGTTAGCAATGTTTATATTTCTAATACTTGCACATTACAAGAAAGATTTGTGTCTCACTGGCTTTACTGCCTTGCTTACTGGGGGGGGGCACGATTAAAAAAAATAATCTTGTTTTCACTGAAGACAATTTCCATATACTTTCACTGATGAAATACGAAGGCATATATTACTTTCGATATACTCCCACTTAATTTCTAGCATTGTCCAAAGAATGTCTTGCTTGATTGTTTTGGAACGCAACGTGCACAGTTTTACAGCACCCCCTTAAAGTAACCCCTATATTTACACTAGTTAAGGTCATGCCATACCATGCACAAGGTCGAATGAACTTCCACATTTTCGCATTTCATTGGGAAGCATTAAGTCTGAGGGCAAACCAATGTGTATAATAGAAACCATGAAATATCCTTTATTTCTCTCAACATTGCTTCAATAAAAACAACTTTATTTGATAAACCCCTATTTGAGCGACACTTGGGCTTTGCAATATTATAAAAATATGAACTGAAGCTATATATATATATATATATATATATATATATATATATATATATATATATATATATATATATAGTTTATGCAAAACTAGGTAATCCGTATGGGTAGACCCAAGGAGGATGATATCCAGATAGCTCAATGTAAATTCAGAGCAGATATGTTTGAATAAAAACAGACCACTTTAAGGTTCCATGTAATAAGTTATTTCACCACAACCCCTTTAAAAAGGGCTCTGGATCATCAGGCTTTACTTCCAAAGGTTGAAATGAAAAATGAATAGCCTATATATATATATATATATACTAGCAGCTTGGCCCGGTGTTGCCCGTGTTTCATTCAAAAATCGTACGACTCATGCAGCAATCACTATCACTTGACTTAAAATATTTTTGCCCTTCTTTGCCTTTAAAGGAGTGCCCTTTGCCGTGCTGATGTTGCTACATGCCTTACTTCTTGCCTATCTCACACTGCGAATTTTTTCTAAGCTCTATACTAAACATTAAATCTGTTACGAAAAAAGAACTAAACAAAATGAACACAAAACGATCAACTTTAAAAAAGAACTCGTAACTGGAAAAAACGAATGAAAAAAGAATGTTAACAACAAATATTTTTTCACACCCAACCCAGTTCTGCGGAATCAGAATCAACATTGAGTTTAAGCATGAGAATGAACCAATTGGAGTAAAGTGCCATGCAGATTTAAAATTTTCCGACTTGTGACGAATGCAGCTATCGATTTTTTTGCATGCTAGCATGCTAGTTAACATTCGTGTCAGTCAGCTGTCAGCTCTCACGCTGGCCAATAGAATCTTCTCGCCAATTCAGTAGAAAATGTCCGCAAACTACTTGAAAACTGCCGTAGAAGCATGAAACATCGATTATTTCCACGATCGGTGGAAAATGTAATGTCGGTCTTGGCTTTCTAGCTAACTTAGAGCATGTGCATGTATATTTTAGTGCAAATCCGTCGAAAATTGCGGCCATGCATTCGTTACATGCACACACACATGCTGTCTTATATATATATATATATATATATATATATATATATATATATATATATAATAATATTTTTCATTAAAATATGATTCCTTCGCTACATAAGAGTTCTCATGTTTCAAAAAACGCGAGCCGAAATATCCAAATTAAAATTAAGTTGAATTGTGGTGTTTAGTCCCGTTTCATCTTCAAGCGAAATTTTAGGAATAAGCTATCTCTCGGTTTACGTGTGTTTTTAGGCATGGTCCGTTAAAAATTCGTTATTGTGGGACTAGCTAGACTATTTTCCTTCGTTAAGTGCTCAGAGAGTTAATTCTTATCAATAGATTCATCATCTTCTGAGAGGTTTTGCTAAGGTTGGGTAGGGTATCTATTTCAAGGCTAATGTTAGCGGCTTATTCCTAAAATTTCGCTTGAAGATGAAACGGGACTAAACACCACAATTCAACTTAATTTTAATAATTATTTTGATGGTTTCGGCTCTCGATTTTGAAACATGAGAACTCTTATGTAGCGAAGGAATCATATGTTTATTCAAAAATATTATTATCATAATAAAGCTCTACTTCTGTATGGAGCACTGTTTTCTTAAAAAATAAACCAAAATTACTAAGGAATCCTGGATTATGCACACAACGTGTTCTTTTTTATTTTCTGCATACCTGCGCACTTACTACACACACACACACACACACACACACACACACACACACATATATATATATATATATAATATTTATTCAAATTTATTAAATGCATTTTATAAGATCTCTACAAAAGTTGATATTTGGATTCGACATTTGTAGTGTTTTATCAAGTGCTCACTTAGTAAGACATCAGGTGTGTTGAAACAAAATTGCAATTTTGTAGTTATCTTATGCATACTTCTGTCCACACACAAAAAGTCCACACACACACTCACACACACACACACACACACACACACACACACACACACACACACATATATATATGTGTGTGTGTGTGTGTGTGTGTGTATACTTCGGCGCTCGTGTTTTTGTGAATGTCCGTGTTGATAGGTATAAGTAATTTTCGTCTGCAAATTAATTGTAATATTTCGAGACTAAATTTTTTAAATTTCGTAAAAAAAACGAGAAAAGGAAATTTTATATTCTGATTTATACCTCCACCGCTCCCCTATTAATCTCTACATTCACACACACATATATATATATATATATATATATATATATATATATATATATATATATATATATATATATATATATACACATACATACAGGAATATTAATGTAGCCATAATTCCGTCCTTTAGTGGTGTAACTGTAGTGACCACTCAAGGGAGACGGTATATGATGGTCCTTACACTGCCCAGATTAAATATTCCCTCTTTCTCTCGGTTGTATGGACAAGATCCAAAAAGATACACAATAGGTTGGTGATCGCTTATCTGAAGGAGTTGCTTGAAGTTGTCAATGCTGATGGCCAACCGCATTCTGGACTCCACTACGGGTTTTCTGTCTGGATTTAAGGCCATTGCCGTTTCCGTATTTGAATATATACAGATAAAAGTAAACATAGAAGTCAACACTTAGAGGCGACAGTCTGTTTCATGTTATATGCAATCGTCAGGCCACCTATGCATCTAGTATGAAACAGACTGTCACTTCTAAGTGTTGACTTCTATGTTCACTTATATATTTACACACGCTCTATCTCTGATATTGAACACTTTATCCCTTAAATATAGCACATCTTAAGAATATATTTCTTCATATATATATATATATATATATATATATATATATATATATATTATTTGGATGGATAGATGTGAGTTTGTGACCCTGGGTTTCACGATTTAGCGATCGTCAGACAAACTGATTAATTTTTTAAAAAATTGGGTTTATGCAGATTGCGTGTATTGGTGTTATTGTGGAAGTGGTGGGGGAAACTTCGTCGTTTTGTCATTCATCGTACTAACGCAAACATCGATGTATGCAGACACATATACATACTTGGTCGTCCATCGGGACTCATACATATATAAACATATGTGGGCAGTTTCGGATATGAAATATGTATGCATACGGGTTGTGTTGTGTCTATACATACACATTTGTATGTTGAAATGTTGAAATTTAAACATTGGAAATGTGGCGGAAATGTCTCGTGAATGTCATATTATGTATTTTCCGCTGAATATTTCCTCCCATGTATGTACACACGTGTGGTGGGGTCTGTGTAAAATTACGATAGGTAAAAATTATTATTATTTATATTTATTTTTAAATTTTTAAATTTATATATATATGTGTGTGTGTGTGCGTGTGTGTACATTACATTGTATACGGCACGCAAAGTCCTTTGATTTAGTTTTTTATACAACTTCTCATGTGATCATACAATTCTCTTCCTATGGTATCATAGATTGTATAAAAACTGCCCAATTTCTTTTTATCCAAGCACTTTCGGCTATAGATTTGGCAATTTTCAAGGTTGAAATAT